CAAGTGGTGGCTATCTTGGCCTAGTGGCCTAGTGAATAACGCTTTGACATTTGAAGCTTTGAGTACTGGTCTTGAGTCTCAGTGGAAACAAAATCACTCACTGAAATTCAGATCAATCCACCTGACGAGTTCTAATTAGAACGAAACACACGTCCTAGATTCTACTGCTAGTCACCAATATGAATGTATTCTAAAATGTCTTAGGAAGGTTATAAGAGATTTACAAGACAAGGAACTATTCTTAATTTTACAACCATTTTAAGACCATGTATCTTCAGAGAGGCACAATCGCCCGTGCAAGTAGATCACCAAACCAATGAAGTTGATGCAGTTAGGGCATCAGATATCAAGCTAAGGGTCATTGATTCTAAATTAACTTCATCTCGTTTACTTCACAAATGTTTTACCGTAATAGGCCATCAAACAAATAAGTGCAGTTCATAAACTCACGTTGATTTGCAGATTTGATGAGATTTCAAATAGATAACAAGTAGATAAGAGGTTTTCTTTCTGACAGCAAAGCAATAAATATGTTATGAGAAAGACATTAATTCTGGTTGGATTATCCAATGAATTGCGATAACCATACTTCAATTTGCAGTCAAGATAGTCTACAAAGGAATATGGAAACCGAAGGTTATCTTATACATTACGTACAACTTCCGATTAGGCCACCAAACATAGATGCGATTTTGTTGTGAGTGAAAGTGTGATATTCTACCAGGCATCTTTTCACAGTAGGATTATCTAAACTGTTTTGCGCAGCAATCACCCAGATTCTTGAATACATTCTGACAAGAAACTTTCAAGTCATATTAGAAAAATGTTTCTTACGACAGAACATTTTGAATTGCCACTGTCACAAGTAAAGAAGAAATCATTTTACCATTTGAACAAGAAATCCTGACCAAAACACTTATTTAATAGATTTAGTTCCCCTGGCAAACTTAAAAAAAGCGAAAACAAAGATATTTGTAGATAAAATGAACCCAATTTTATTTCACTACCTTTCATCAGCTGCAATCTCCCATCCAATCATGATGAAATATCAGTAGTAATAATGAAACAACATACTTCAAATACATTGAAATAAATGAAGATTCGAAATCTAGAGTTAACAGTAAAGTGGTGGTAAGTGAGTCAAGGAAATACAGGATTGATTATCATTAATCTTAATCGAAATCAATCTACATTTATGTCTGATTAGACAGAAAATTCTAGAGCTATGGAAAGGAAGGGACAACAAATAGTTAGGTGTGCAAAAGAAGGGGTTGTTCAAGAACTAGTGGGTTACTTAGCTATGAGGAGAAAACTGGAGAAACGTTTGTTCGAGTAATTAACAGTCAGTAAGTTATTGACGAAGAGATGATGCAATCGAAAAAGGAAACCTATACATGGATACACATGTAAAAAGGTTTATATAGCTACCAGGGTAAAGGAGGGATAATTACAGTCTGTTTCTGAGTACAAAAGTTAGGTGGAAAATGTTTGATAGAAGGAACTTCTTCAAATCGTAAGAAACATGGCATTCTTTGTGCGTTGATTATCCTGGAGGATTGAGAAGCATCTGTTTGATGTCCTGTTTTCATCAGGTGCAAGATGATTGCACTGTTAAAGATTTGCTACCTTTTAGTTATAGATTTCTTGGAATAAGCTAATAAAATTGAGTAGATATTACTAAAATGAGGTAGTGAGTCAGGGAACACGAAGAATTAAAAATATGTTTCTTCCAAACGGAGATTTCTCAGAATTGAGCACCAATAACCTCCAGACTCTGCATTGAGCATGTCAACGTATTTAGTCATAAATTACCATTAAGTAGCTGTTCAGCTATCTATAACTGTCAGTGACCCCTTACTTAGTGCCAGTTAGCGATCATTCTATCGTTTCACACACAAATCACTTATTTGGACAGTTTCCTAAATTTAGCTCAATTCTCTAATGTGTTACAGCGCGCGTTGCATATAAAATACCCAATTTTCAAAGAGCACAGTAAATTCAGAACTTATTTGCACTAACATCTACCTACTTTAAGTCTTCCGTCATAATCATCATGAGTCCCATATAGGACGAAATGTGCTTCGTGAATTCCACTGCTAGTCATCAAGTAAATTATAGCGTTATTAAGACTTTTGGAAACCTTATCTTCATTCCTATACTAGCGTCTACCAGTTCATTAATACTGCATGGTTTGGTTCGGAAAATGTATGAAGAAATTTATAGCAAGCAGGTATATGGATTATTGGGATCATCTTAATACCCTTGCGCCTAACTTAATACATCAGTTTACCTAACTTTTCTCAAATGTTTATCATTTAGGTTGGTGATTTTATGAAAATACTCAATTTTGCAAAACCTAGATTGTGTACCATAGTTGTCCTTCATTCTATCAAAGCAAAAATGGTAGGTAATCACCTAATCCAGTGATAGAAAAGCGATTAAACAAGAGATTGATAGAGAGTCGCAAAACAGATTCTGGATTATTTAATTGAAAACAAATTGATTGGATCGTGCGGATGCAATGAGATCAGACGAGCAAGAATCCAAACGATTTCAAATTCACATTTTGTCCTCTAATTCGGTCAATACCAGTTTGCTTAACCAAAAAGGTAAGAAATTAATTTTATTATCCCTTATTTATGGCTGATATGATGGAGTGCAGTTTTAAAGTGTCTAGTCTTGGTGTGTCCAGCATTTAGAACTTGCTCTACGCATATTTTGCATTTACCCCCTTTCACTAAAGTACACCCACGCTCACGCCTACAGACTAGTTTTCATCCATTCGCTCACTTAGATCTAGTCTTGTTTGTAAATTGCGTGATACGTATCACTTAGGTATCTTCATCTCTCTGTTTAAGGATATGCATATAACAGTAACAATAATAGTCTATGAGACGTGCATGCATGCCGAGACCGTAAAGAGACACTAACACTACTGTTTTTACCCTATGAACTCTGGAACTTACGCAATTAAAGATAATTTAAATTGGCTGGCTAGATGGCAACGTTGACGAGCTTGGGTAAGTTTATAGTTTTAGTACATAATGAAATAATTGAAATATATAGTATGTACTTTATATTTCCTTGAGCCCTAGGAGCATTGACTTTTATTTGTATGTATCTCATTTCATTTAGCCTATATACCAGTTTTCATCGGGTGAAACTCAATTGACTTAAATTAGTGCAGTTCGTGAGCTTTCAGTGGGTACATTGTTTTGAAGCTAATTGTGTGCCAAGAGAAATGATAATGAGAGAGTACTGTGTTTCGACGAGAAAGTAATTATGCCTTTATTCAGTCGTATTCTTTGTCTGTTCCCAAAGATCACTCGCTAGTGTCGGGCAACATGTGAAGGATCCTCTTTCTATCACTAAGTCATCTTAATCCGTAGCATATTGTTTAATAACTGATGTCACAGAAGGTTTAAGTTTCAGGTATTTAAGTATGAAACGTACAAAATATTTTACTTTAGGCTAGCAGAATGTTTAGTTTTCACAACGACTAGTTCAATTCTTGGACATTACTTGAAACGATATAGCCCCGAAGTATGCACACCTATTAGCAAAACAGAGGTGACCTTATACTGTTTGCATATGAAAACGTAGTATGCATCTTTATGACTGAACCTGGAGAGTGTTCCTTAGTTTCATTCTGAGCGCATTAAACGTTGGTATAATGCGGCAGTGATTAGAAAAATGACTTTCTAATAGAAGAGAGACTAGTGAGTATTCTCCATCACACAAGAAGTGATTTAGCAATTCACGAATATCAAACGAAGCTGCAGCAAACTTACAGATCCTTACCATTAAACGTGCCTACATCGATGTCACCACCGGTTGGTAATAGAGTTTGCATTTATATAGGGATTACGGCAGTTATTACCATCGATATAGGGAAGTATATGTAGGCAGCATATGGGTGTGGAAGTCATTAAGAAGGAAAAGGAGTAGACCGTAATACCGTCTACTGCAGAATGGTTAAAACACTGATAACGTTTCTACTTAAGTTACTGGTTCCTGGGCTTTTGTGTTCTACCGTATGTTTCAAACACTGCTTCAGAGCTTTAAAATGCATTGGTATGTACATTCGCTTTCAAGAAATTCTTCGTGGCATCAACCGTTTCAGTACCATATACAATATTGCTTCTAGTTATCAATAAGACTGGTTACTTCGGTGATAAACAGGAATTTTGAACGGTTAGGTTGAGTACAATATTCACTCATAAGATTCAGGTTTTCCCAGTAAAATAAGGTTAGAGCATGAGCATATCAGCAGTCAGTTTGTGATGTAGAGTTTGGCGTTAGGAGTCAGTCAACAAAAAGGTACTGACTTTGACTTCATTCATACAGACATTCGTTAGTCAGGGGTGCATAAAACCTCTAGAATACTCCTGTTCTCTTTCAGGTACTAAATTTCGTTATTAAGTTTAAGAGTTGTAGACTACCTCACGGGTATTCAGGAGAAGATTGACCCTTTGTGAAACTGAATTGTTCACACAAATCATTCAACGGATGGTAACCAATTTATCTGTCAAGGCCTTAGTGCCGATCGGATTTTATCAATTAAACTTGTAGATAAGTTCTGCTTAGAGGCAACAATTTTGGAACCTAAGTTCAGGGGTTCTAGAGAAGTGACTCTTAAAATGTCACACCAAACATTGGTAGATTCAGTATCGTATTATTTAATTTATTGGTCCGACTACCAACTTGGTGTTTCTTCTCACAGATGATTGTTCTGAACTGATAAAAGCTAGAATAAGACTTGCAGGTGATAAGATTTCTGAAGTTTGTAGGACATTGTGAGTAGTTGAGTTGGGGTTGCACCACTGTAACCTATTCATTTGCAACTTCTATTACATTTATAGGTTCTCATAGCCCTAAGGTTCTATCACTTCACTGGTTTAAATGGTCCTTTTGTTCTCAATTGATTTGCCTGTAATCACTTTGTTGGTAAACGATCAAACACGGATTGAGAGAGGATTTGATAAATTATATTTAAACGCATGGGAGTTAATAGTACTCTCAAAATCACGGGGGAGTTAAAATTTATCTGCAGCACCGGTGACTACAAAACAGTAACTTCAACTTTTTGTATTCGCCGAAGATGCTATAATGTAGCTACTAACAGGTATGTTGTATTCATTTGAAGTACTACTTCCAAAGTTACAAATATGACTTCAAAGCTATGTATATTACTTCGCTTGTGATAAAGTATTGAAATATGCAAAGTTAAGGTTATAAATTTGGCTGTGATATAATATATATTTATTAGTAGTAGTCTTAATCGGTCCGTGTATTCAACTGGCATATATTTCGAATTAAGTGATTAGGGAGAATGATGTATAGATGAAGTGATAGATTTATAAGGTGGAGTCTTCCTGGGAAATGTCACACAATGATTCTTTAGAAAAACGACGTGCTGATTTATTTTTGTTTACTCGTAACATTTACAAAACAGTCTATAAGTCGGGCATAAGAATCTTCTAAAGCTGATGTAACCACTTGGGACCTATGCACTAACTGCACAGTTCTTGTTTGCTTCTCACATCTGACAAGTCTTAACAAGACTTCAGGCGGAAGTTAATCAGTAGAAACATCGACTTAGATTGTCTGAAGCATAAGCATTAGGCGCAAACTGATTACTTTTACTACTGATTGATGCCAGTGTGATGATGTCATCAACAAGGGTCAACAATAATTTCGGTGAATCGAAAGCTGGGAGGTGCCACATATACTGGCTAGACATGATTTTTCATTGCAGTATTAGAGCTTTAGGAACCTGCCTTCAAAGCGTAGAATCATAAGGTCAGAATACTTTCTCCGCATATTTCAACTTGAGTAATCATATGGTTATTACATCCCTCGACGTCACTAGACAATATTCTAAGATATCCAGCCTATTTCGACTTTTTAACGTTCAACTTCACACCAACCAGGATAATGTTCAATGTGTTAAGTTACATTCCAGGTAATCATTTGAACTAGAAAATTCCTAACCAATAGATTCTGACCCTGTTTCTATCCATTCATCATTGTTTCACATACATTGATGATGACTTTGAACTAGGACACTAGACAGCGATGACTCATCACTTAGTTCTGACTGTTTCTGGATATGGGACATTTCGTTGATTCATAAATGATAAGCATGCATTCATATAATACACTTGTGAATATGCGTTGGATACATCAAGTTCACAGGTAAGAGTAAAACAAATTAAGTCCACCACCGTTCATCCAATGACTTGAGGAAAACTAGATGTTGGCCACTGTGATTAGAACTAGTTTTATGCAGATTAGTTATTTTGTTATGTAGGTTAACAAAATAGTGAAAATAAAAATTAACAAGAATTTCTTCGCCAATTATAATTTCTTTTAATCTGAACAGTTCCGATCTCACTCTCATAAGCTATCATAACCATAGACTCTGGGCATGGAACGCTGAAAGTTGGAATGGTTATTCTCCTCTAAGCATACCAGTGAGTTCCTTTTTTCTTTGCTGTTGTTTGCATTTATTTTCAACGTACACGATGTCGCTGAGGATTTGCTTGTAAACTCTTCATACTTTGTGTACAGTTGAAATATTGTGATAAAATGTTAATTCTTACGCGTACAACTTAGAAACTTCTTCAGTACTTCAATGTCACAATCGCACAGCTATGCACTGTGCTCATTCTTTTTATTCGTGCAACCATAGACATTAAAGATCTTGAGTAGGAATACACTACTCGTCATCGCACCTAGATTAAGTAGATGATCCTATGTTGCCTACCACTTTTGCATGTCCGTTTATTTATTATTATCTATCCCTTGGATTCCTAATGGAAAATAGGGCTTCAAAAGCACATAGCCATAAAACTGTTCTCTGCAGTCTGTTTCACCTGGCTCTACGACTGCCCAGAAGCTTTCATTTCTCCCTGATATGATCTCCGTGTCATCCGCAGAAGCCCAACTATGCCAGTCAGTACTTGTGTCTTACAAATACTTTTGATGTACGAATAACATCGGAAACTTTTTATATTGTCAGGTATGCAATTTATTCTTTGAAGCACAACAAAGCTTGAGAGCGTTCCGATACTCCAGAATATTGAAAAGATAAACACGGTTATCAGGAAGTGCTGAAACGAGATTTTTTCATCTGACTAGCTCATTGTTAACATCTGACTGCAGTATGGTGCCAAGAAGGATACATTGAAATTTCTCAGGAGGCGTCAGTAAAAAGTTTCATCATTATGGACGTTGTAACCGCGCCTAGGTAACTAGTTTACTAGTTACTAGATGGTGCTAGGCCCGGATAAAAAACGAAGGTTGCCCATAGGGCTAGAAACCCTACCCCTTAAAACCAATCCAATCGCTAAAGAAACTTCAAAGCATAAAGAAAATATAAAAAATAAAAACAAACTTGTTCATCACTGAAACCGGGGAGATGAAATGACGCCAGCTGGTGAAAGCCGTCGGGAAGCCAATCAGCCGGGACGATGCCTATTCTCTCGATGAAAGCGAAGGTAAACATGGGAACATGGAATTTCCGCATTATGTTTGAAGCTGTCTGGCAACGACGCCCAGATGGCCAAAGAGATGAGAAGGTATCTCATTGAAGTGCCAGGCTGGGAATATGTGAAAGCAAATGGAATGGAAGTGGACACTCGAAACTGTCAACTGGAGAGGAGTCAATAATCTAATCTACTCCAATATTGTCACCCAGACGACAACCACGAACACGAGCACAGCACACTGAGTTTCCGAGTAGCTCTCATGATGTCCCCCTCCGAAGAGCATCGAAGCCTCTCTCCATCTCTCTCTCTCTCTCTCTCTCTCTGTGTCATGCAGTGGAACCAATCTCCTCCTGCAGGATCAGTGATCATGACAGCAAGATTCAACTGAAAGGGAAGGCAGCTAGTCATAATCATTCAATGCTACGCTAGGCTGGGCTAGGCACCAACAAATGACGCAGATGAAGAGAGGAAGGAGGAAGGATGAATTCTATAGACAACTTCAATCGAGACTGGACAAGACCCCACTCCAGTTGTCGACATCAAAATTGATTGCAATGGGTGGGGTGGGGTTGTTGTGTGACATGAATGCCAAACTGGGAGTGGACAACACAGGCAGAGAACCAACCATGAGTCGAGAAGCGTTCGGTGAAATGATGAATGAGAATGGAGAATTGTTTGTAGAACTCTGTGCATTCAACGATTTGTTGATTGGAGGCGAGGCAGTGTGTACAAACACAAATAAGGATAATATAAGCGTAAAACTTGGCCACTGTGGTTGAGTGTAATTCCATTTTAGTCTGTTTATTAGAAATATGACACAGTGAAACAGTATCATTTATTGGGTAACGTTTCGGACATGTTCATATCAGGTAGCTCCACAACTTCGAGACAGTCTTTAGATATTCCTAGTTTTCTCTCCTTCTCTGTGATGACAAGGGTAGTAGAATTCTCCATATAACTGGAACAAATGCAGAATGATTTCTATTGGTGTTGATTGGATAGAAAAAGATTCGGTTATCAGTCTCTTCCTCCACCCAAGTTAGTTTTCAACACTGTCGCCCTGTCCCACCCTACTGTGTGAATGTGTGTCATCGCTTGCAGAGCTGTAGCCGAGTTTTTCTCTAGATTTTTATCTTATCAGGATCTACTGATCTTGACTTAGCTAGATTTTTGTGCTCTGTTATTTGAATCAACCCTGGTCGACTGCTTTGACCTATATACTTGAACTCGTAATCATTGCAAGGAATCTGGTAGACCAGATTATTTTGCCTAATTGCATCGATAGGATCTTTTAACCTACAAAGCTTGTTTCTAAGTGAGTTTGTTGGTCTGAATGCCACAAGGATATTCGCAAAGCGAGTGACATGAATTTGATTTCCCCAGACACCAGAACAGGACACAATAAAATTCAGATCGACTTCATCTCAATGTGAAGGAGGTGGAGATGGAGATTGAGCTTACTGGACACAAGGTGAGATGAAGAAGAGGAGTAGATGTAGGTTCACACCACTCACTATCTAGTGCAAGGAACCTACCTTCGAAATCAAGTTGAAAGCCTTCAAGGAAGTTGGTGATAGACCACAGTTGAAGTTCAGCTTGAACACCGAGAAGAGAAAGTGAACTGAGTGAGGAAATGACAAGGGATATCTTCAGTTCAGACATGAGGAGAAAATGGTAGATGTGAAGCAAGGTCCCTGAGAGATGGGGAGTTGAACAACACTTGAACTGTTTGAAGGAGATGAGGGAAGAAACCAGCATAACTGTTTGAGGAAGGAAGAAGGAAGGCAAGACAAGGAATGGATCTCGAAGGACACATGTAAGCTGATAGAGGAGGGAGAGTAAGATGGAGATGGTGAAGCTGAAGATGTATCAGTGCATCACATTGCATTGCATTGCAGTGCAGTGCATGGATGAACAACAAAATGAGGAACCGAACACAATGTATAAAACACTACACTGGAGAAAGAAGTGAAGAAGAGTGCATGCAAAGACAAACCACAATTCTACGACTCACTGGTGAGTGAAGCAGAGCAGCCTGCAGATAGGAGAGACAGAGACCCCACAATATTATATGAAATAAGCAGATTGCTATCTGGGAGTGAAGAGGTCAATGCAGAGGAGAGCAGTGAGAGATAGTGAAGGGAAAGTAGTTACGACGAAAGAGGAGGAGGAAGAAAGGAATCGATGGGCTGACCACTTCGAAAACCTCTTGGATCGACCACCACCACCAACACCACCATCACCTGCAAATCGTCCACAAATATCACCAGCAGACACAGAATTTCTGGTGAACACAAAGTCTTCAACAAATGAGAAATGAAGTCCTTAACGCCATAAACTTGCTGAAATCTGTGAGAGCAGGAGGACCAGATGGAATTCCTCTAGAAGCACTGAGAACATGCGGAGACATCAGTGGACATGCTCACACCACTACTGCAGAAGGTTTGCATGGAAGAGAGGAAGGAGAGGTGCCTGTCGGTCGATCAGAAGAAAGAGTATCTTGTCGATTTCTCTAAGGAGGGTGTTCTAAGTCTTTGCTAGAATTGGCGTGGAATCATTCTCCTGCCCCGGTCCACTCCAAGCAAAATATTAGGCGCATCATTTCGGAGAGACTAAAGGAAACTCTGGATTCAAAATTACGACTGGAACAGGCTGGTTGGCTTCAGGAATAAGAAATCATGTGGGGATCGAATTGCAAAACTACTCTATGCATTATCATAGAACAGAGCGTAGAATGACCATCAACTCTCTATCTCAAATTTATCGACCTTTAGAAGGCCTTTGATAGCGTCGACCGAAAAGTAATTTGGAAACTGCTTCAAGACTACTGATTAAGTGCCACAAATCTTTACCAACCTCATTCAGCAGCTGTATGCTATATCATGCTACATGATATATTCCAAGTGATTGACAATGGGAAGCTGAGTGTCGCCTTTGGAGTGAAGACAGGAGTAAGACAAAGATGCCACCTACTATGGTCACCGATGATCTTCCTGATTGTGGTCGACTCGACTTGACTGGACTTGATCATGCAGCAGACAAATGTGAGGAGCTGTGAGAAGATGAGCATACGCTGACTGGACCGATAGGAAGACTGGAGAAGACGATTTGTATTTCGCCGCCGGTGATAATTGATGTTTAATGTCCTGTTGCACAAACTCGAAGATCTACAGGTGAAAACTAACAAGTTGATAGAAGAGGCGAGGCGAGGTGAGGTGAGGCAGCACAGGAAGACGTGTTTTCCTCCAGGTGAACGTAGAGAATACAGAGGTGATGAAGATACTCGACCGATAACATCAACAACAAGAACAAGCACTAATCACCGTTAGCTGGGGAACCTAGAGGAGGTAGTCTGTCTCACGTACTTGGGCAGGACAGCATCGTTTCAACTACAGGTGGCACAGTCACAGATGATGATGTTAAAGTAGCCAGGATCGGAAAGACAGCAAGACAGGCCTTCACTAATCTGAAACCAATGTGGAGGTCTATTGCAGTGCACTCAGCATAAGGCGTGAACGATATCCGGATTTTCAACACCAATGTCAAGTCAGTGCTTCCAAGTGATGGTGATGGTGATGGTTGAGAGATTTGGTGGCGTGTAATGAAAGCAAATCCAACAAAGTGCACACATCCATCAACAGCTGCTTACTCTGGCTCGATGCTGAAGATCAGATAGCCAGTAAGAATGTCCAGTAATAATAAGCAACAAGTAACTCTGTGAATGACGCAACCAGGAAGTCATCACCCAACAGAAATGGAGAAGAAAGTGGAGATGGATTGTACTTGGCACACACTGAGAAAGACCGATTGAGGACATCATGCTTCTTGTCGAGCAGTCGAGTGGAATCCGAATGGGAAGGGACGAGTTGGGCATTTGAGTTGTGGGTGACATGTCGGAGATGGTGTGAGGAAGAAATGAAAGCTTGTGAGCATTGTTGGAGCCAGGTTGAAAAGAGTGTAGAGAAGAGAGTGAAATGGAGGCATGCTACTGAAGCCCTATGTTCTACAAGTATTCCAAGGGACAACTTATAATAATAATAATAATAATAATTGTGGGCTTTGTAATAGGCAGTAGTACGAGGTAAATTGCAGGTGTACCTATGCCAGTGAAACTGTTGAGGTTAGTGTGTTGGGATTAGTTGTCCGGAAGCTGGAGACCCGGGTTTCGTCCCTGTGTGTTTTCTTAGCCAGGCATCGGTATCTGCAAATTAGTTGATATCTTCTCGGAGTTGGGTACCCGCCTAACCTAGTGATGTGGTCAATGGGGCTAGCACTGAACTATTCGAGCTGCGCGTGGCCTCCTGTTGTGATTCATCAGGATAGGCTATCAGTATTGACGCAGATTTTTGTCTGCTTGTGATGTGGAAAAGCTGTTCAGTTATTTTATTTTGCCTCAAAGTATAGCCATCATGAACGAAATACGAAAGGATGAGACCAATATTGATTAAAAAGCATCAGGTTTTGGATTTTTTGTACAATTATTGGGAAGAAAAAGGTTATCAGGGGCTAGACTTAAACATGTCATGAATTCATAAAATCTTTGACTTTTGAGCCATGTAGGTTATCGTAAGCTTCCCGACTGAGGTCTGTGTGACAACAAAATCAGTGACCAGTGACTTCAGTTTGTTTTTGGTTCGAAGAAGAGTTCTGTGACATTTAATCAGGCCTTTATGGGCAGCCCAATACTGACGTATTCCTTTACCAAGTAATTGATGCTCAGTCATTCTGCATCGATATATTTGAATGTCACTATAGCCTGTATTATTAATCACTCTCAAATTTAGACTAGGGCATAAATAGTATATGTGATAAGTTTAGCTCAATACCAACCCAAGTAACGTATCTTTTAAGTTCAAGGCTTAGCAAAACTAATTAACTACCTTATAACTCTTATCATGATATAACATCAGTCAAGAAAGAACTGGATTTCTTAGGGTAACGCTACGATTCTAATGTGAATTGGCTGAATAACAAAAGCTTAATAAAGGTTGTCATTTTTATCATCGAAACACTTTCCAACAGTAGTCCCAGTTACAATAACCAATCAATAAACGAAAAGGATATTTTAACTATTTCTAGCTACAGTGAGTTATCCTCTGTCAGTTCATTGGAAAGTACTTCTGCATGCTGCCTCCGTGATAATAATTAAAACTGATTGTTCGTCTATTCAAATAACAACTAGATTCAGTGTCTTTTTGTCTCATCAAGTAAGATGAGATGATTGATACAATATGTTAATTCTCCCCTCTTCAAAACCGTTGAAGAAATTTACAGTGATCAGTAATACTTGATCACCTGTTCTGATGACTTTTTTCACAGTCTGTTATTCGCAGGATCAAATCCTGGTTTAAAATTTACCCCTAGTTGAAGGTGAATACTAATTCCTAAAATGTTAGGGCTTATTCCAAGTGTCATAGATTTTCACCACTGTAACTATTGTTACGAGTTTTTAATTGTGGTCTGGTTTCCTACTATGTAGTTATTTTGGAGAAATAAAAAGAACTCAAATTCTTTATATGCTTAATTTATAATTGAAGAGGCTAATCTTTCTACAAGAGAATTCTTATGGATCAACCTTAGAATCTCGTATTCAGTCTGTAGTAAAAGGAACGGATCTTCAAAATCGATTAAGAGATTTCATAGATAAGTAGATCTGTAAGCAACCTTATGCAAAGTTATTTGCCACTTTTTTAGTGCTCATAATGCACCATTCTGATGCAGAGAGGTTTAGGAGTGAGCAGAATCAGCTTCGTTCCAACGAGAGAACTAGTAAACTATGTTCCTACAAAAATAACTGGAAAGATTAGTTTCTAAATAAAGTTGGGTAATTGCAGGGTTTCCGAAGGGTTGTTGAAGGCCTATGTTGAAGGTATTTCCGCAAAATGAGCTGTATAATACATCTCAGAGTAGCATACTGGATAAAAGAAAATTGCATTGAAGTAGACAACAGTATATAAGACGAGATCAGAATCATCTTAACGCATAAATTTCCTACGTGTAGCTTCTACTTAGAAAAACATTGTTTCTTTTCAGTGGATTGTGTGTTATCGAGAATCGTGTTAGGATGGCGCATTTCTCTTCTAGTAGTCTGTTCTATCTTGTGTAACAAATAATGAATGCGAATGATTATTTTTTAGGGTGGGTGAGCTTGCATGAGGCAGAAAAAAGCACAGTAACTTTGTAAAATGTTCCTCTGAATTCTGGTCCTAGTCATGATTTGTGACAGGTGTGATACACTAGTTGGGAATGGAATTTCTATTTACTCATTATAAATGTTGCGCGATTACACCTGCGTAGACACGTATGGATGATGTAAAGTATTGGTATTTCACGGTGATTTACATAATCTATTCCGTTTTCCCCTCATCAGAAATTTTGTATCCAATTCAGCAATGTAGTTTGGTGTTATGCTTAATATATGAGCGAATGAATGGTAATATTCATGGAACTGATTGGAGATTTAATTTTACAAGCATCAGAAGCGACTCTAAATGTCACACTAACAACAACGTAAGTAGCCACTTAGACTTCTTTATTTCATGAAAGTCTATCTTTCCAACAGAAATAAAGACGTTTAATTGGTTCTTTCGGTTACTGGTAGGACGGTCACTCGAGATCAGATGAAATCTTGCCTTCATTTTTGGTTAGGATTTCATTATCTGTGCATACCTTGTATTGCCGAAAGGGGAAGCATTCCAGAAAAGATAATATTAATCGGCCTTTACAAAGAAAGCATGGTCAAGGAGAATAAAGACAGGAATTGCATTGAAATTCTTATAATGACTTGAAAATTATGGTACGGTTCCCTTTAAATATTCAAAAAGAATATGTGATTGTCATGTATTGATAATTCTCTATACTGTTTATTGAGTGGGTTATGTAGTCCATTAGTGTTCAACCTGTACACTGTTGTAACTAAGAGATTCAATCATTATGATTGAGGTGCATAGAAAATAGTTGTCGTTACAGCATTAATTTATAACGTTTTTGACGTCTAATGTAGTTGCACCTTCTTCCGTAAGTACGTTCTTCTGACTTCTAGAAGGGCTCTAAGGATTGGTGGGAATAATTTCAGGTATCACTCTTAAATTCTCTCATTTCTTGTAAATTTTGTTTGGAAGCTTCTGATGGTAGAGATGGCGTGGGGGTGGAGTGAATAATAAAACAAGCGATTAAACCACCCAAAATTTATATTGACTTTGTTGTGTTTTTAGAATCAAAAACTAAGTCTTGCAGTTTCCCGTCGTCGGTTAAACCAGACTGATCGGACACCACTGGGGTGTGGGCTTCCATTCAGATGCTTTGATATATAGCCCATGATTTCAGCTTGATACAAATGATGACCAGAGGTTGGAAGTGATGTCCAGGATGTGTTTCATACCATCTGAGACTCACCAACCATTTCCGACCAACTGAATGAAGATTGGAAGCCACAACCTACAATACCAAGCTGTATTCACTGCGTAAGGATTGTTACAACTCAGTAGCTTGGTGCACAACTCTACAACTCATGGAGCGAAATGAATGCCACCTTTAAGTCTCCGTTTGAATGTTCTACTCAAAATGTTTAAAGGCCAAGGTGGTACATCACCTCCTTGATGTTACACGTATTGGTTTCATTACGTAAGATCACTCAACTTCAACACTAAATTCATTCTTAAGAAGAACACTTATTTTCTACTCATTTGCGACAAACATCTTTCAAGTCCCTGGTTTTTAGACCTTTGTTGTTGTTCTTTTTCTTTCATTTGGGATATCTCTATCAGCAAGTTTTCTGTACTGCTCGTGATGATATGAAAGAAAAAGCTTTCCAGTGTCTTGAATTATGTGCGTAAACATCCTGACCATGCTCTAACGAAACAGAGTGAATTCATAAATATCTAATTAAACCTGACTTGGTACTTTGATGCTATCCGCAAGCATGTAGGTTGAGAATAATTTTAGGTGAGAGACTCCGTGGTTTTACATATTAAATTTGTGTGTGTTTATGTGTTCATTAGGATTATGACTATGGTTTCTTGAGAGCCGCAGGTTCAAACTGTTAGTATGCAGGTTATGCGTATGCGAAGAGTTTCGTGGTTGTCTGATTTTCAATTCTGGCACTAAGCCTTGCTAAATTTGTTCTCATGCTGTTTGTATAGGTAAACTTCATGATTATCCAAAAATTATGACAATGTGAACTCGCGGCTATCTAAATTAACACAGTAATTTTTACTATATCAGAACTCTTTTATTCTGAGACTAATTACATCTATATTTACATGACTAGCTTCTAAACTACATTTCACAAGCGGTCCATCCATTGAGTTTCTCAATCCACGGTGTTATTGTGAAACATCTAGTAAAGCACAGTGGTTCTCATTACTATGTTTTCATCAATCTGTTAATGGAAGACAGTGAAGTCAACTTGAAACGCAGTTACGCGGTTGAGGGATAGTTTTCTAGTTTCATTCAAAATCTTGACCGTGATAAATATTTATTCTCACAGTAAGTGTTGTCTGTGTTTGTTGTTGGTTTCTTTATGAAGGCATCTAAATAGTTCCGCAGATTATATGCAAATTATATTCATTTAGTTTTTGGTGTAGTAGTGAGTAACGTTAATCGAATGTACTTTTATGCATATTTTCACTTTGTTGGTGCGCTATGACTACAGTAATTCAACCTGGCCAACATGATGAACCTGGAAAATTCACATTGAGTTTCTGAGGATTCGATTGCTAGTTCTTGCAGTTTTGCAGGTGTAGGTGTAACCTTAAGTACTAAGACAGAAAGTGCACAGCTCAACCGGATCTCTACTGACAGTCACCTGTGCGCTGTTCAACTGAAGAGTACTATGAGGACTGAAAAAACAGTGAGACTTGCCACTGTCTCTCAGTAATCTGTACTTATGAACCCACTGACTACATTTCGGATAAGGTGAAAGATGAGTTCTACTGAAAACTGTCTAGCCTCCTACAGAAAGTCAAATGTTCAGGTGGGGATATCGTAGCAGTTTATTTCAGTGCATAAGTTGATGGACTGAGTAAGCAGCAAGCAATTAGATGGCAATTTCGGAATTCCAGTTGAAAGAATGAGCTATGGCAATCACCTACTACAACTGTGGACAGATAACCAACTACTTCTAGACAACAAGAACTTCAGACAAAGTATTTTACGTGGTATGAGTTAACTTCAACTCAATGGTGAATACAGATTGATCGTATAGCTATCGGTTATCGCAAAAAGGGGTCAATGGAAGATTGTCACTCCTTTTGAGGCACGTGTTTAGATAATGATCGTGCATTAGTTCAAACACACCTGTCTTCGTCTAACTGAACATAGAAGAACCATAGCGAGCTCAGCCTTCCGATGAGAATGCTAAGGCTACTTTAAGCGAGAAATAGGGTAGATAGTTTTCGAAACTAGATAGCATCACTTATCTTAAAGAATTCTGGTTCTCTTCAGTCTACTACAAAAACAGTTTCAAAGACTGTGATCTTGAGAAAGTATACAGGGTCATTGGATCTCAGAAGTTCCAGAATTCATGGATGTATATGAACACATTCTTGCTGTCTCAGAGCTCAGCCACGAATCAAGGCAACTCATACGTAGACTGGTGAGGGGTCTAAGCAATGATTGCGAGCGGTGATGGGACGGCTAATGAGATTGAAAAGACAGTGGTAACACTCAAGGTGAACAGTTATTTAGACTGATCAAGGGAACTGGGCAAACGTCAATAAGTGAAATGGGTCTGCGATTCGCACTCAGGATCGAAGACTGGAACAATAGGTGGAACACTGAGAAAAAGTTCAACTGGACTTCAGCTAATATTCCATCGCCAGCTATCCACTAGATTCTGAAGGCAACGTTGAGATAGTACTAACCAGGTCTAGCGAAAGTTGAGAAGACTGTAAGTAATAAAACGAGAGAAGGTATCAAAGACAGATAAGCTAGTAACAGAGGTATTTAAAGACGATGGTTGAGGACTATTGGTCAGGCTATCTGAGGTGTCAGCTAGCTTATGATCATCAGATATGATCCTTTCTTATTGGTCTCAATCACTCATTGTTTCAGTATTTAAGAGAGGCGAGAAGCTGTTTGGTGATAACCACATAGGGGTTGGTCAAATCAACATAGTGTCTCAGATCCTAGGTTGGTTGGTCTTATAATCATTCGACAACTAAGTAAAACTGGTAAAAACCAACCTAAGAAAACCAGGGAATTTTCGGACCTCATCGTGGGTGCATTAACCAGATATTCACCCTCGGTTAGCTTCTGAAACACAGGCACACTTACCGACGCTCGAGACAAGATTTAGTTCTAGACCTGACATGGCATTCGACTTTCTCAATGTTGTTGGACGGCGCCACCTCTCGCTAAAACATGCCAGAAAGTGCATACCTCTGTCTTAGGCTCTGTATTTGCACAGCTTTAGGCGTTTCAGAGCTTTTGGTTATTTATCAGATGAGTGTAAAGTTGAGTGATGTCCATCACACTATGTATTTTTATTTAATTTTGTCATACACAAACTCCCACTCTTCATTCAAATTTACAAAGATCACTTTCATTACAGGAGACTATTTCCAGAACCTCGCCTATGCAAATAACGCAATCCTGTCCAGTAAAAATACAAACAAGATTCACTGCCTCCAAGATACGTGAGTGGGAATTC